GTACAGAAACTGACAGATGGTAAGACCAGTTTCCAACCTGCTTAAGTACTGGTATAACATGGTTTAGATTATTTTATTTGCATTGTCTGTTTTTACTATATACCGAAGTAGTACAAAAGTACTATTACAGCTTTGTTACAGTTCTTCTATTATTATTATTATTAGGTCTATTTATATGATTTATAGATTTATTGTTACAGTTTCAGATTTTATCAACACACTATTTTTAGAGACGATTTAACTGATTATTTTTCTAAAAAAATGTGTAAGGTTCTATTTCTTTTAGTGAAATTCCAACAAACACATAGATGCCTGGGGATAATCATAATAAAACAATTCAAAAGTTCAAGAAAAGAATCACTTTCATAGTTGTAACCCATAGAGACATCAACAAATGAACCAATTAATTGGGTTAAATATTTTTTTTGTAATATTGCAGTCAGAAAAAAAAAGTATTTGAACATGAAAATTACCTCATGTGAAGGTGAGAAATCCCGAAGTCATATTGCAAAAGACCTCATTAATCACATCTGGATGTATCAACAAAAAGAAGGAAATTATGTGAAAGGAAAAGTGCCTACTGGTGAATTTGCTTATAAAAATTCATTGGGTTTTATGTTGATAAACATTATTTTAACATAATTTTAAGGGAGTTTACCTCCCTTTTTTAAAAAATAGAGGCATAAATCCAGAGAACATTAATGTTGATGTCAGTTCTTGCCTCCTGTGACAACTTCAACTTTTTTCAGCTTTCTATTTTTTCTTTTTAAATGATTTTATTTATTCATTTGAAAGGGAGAGAGACAGAGAGAGCACAAGCAGGGGGGAGAGGCAGAGGCAGAGAGAGAAATAGGTTCCCCGCTGAGCTGGGAGCCGACATGGGGCTAGATCCCAGGACCTGGAGATCATGAACCGAGCCGAAGGCAGACGCTTAACTATCTGAGCCACCCAGGTGCCCCCTTTTTCAGCTTTCTAAACTGGATAGTCTCCCCTGGAAAGTCAGGACTACCTCAGTTGCTGGGTAAGTGATGCCTCTCCACACCCTCGGCTTACCATCTCTCAGACAATTAAAAGGGCTTAGAATTGGTTCACTTTGTAAACCTGGGACATGGTAGCCCAGTGACAAGGACAGTGGGTGGCATACATTCACCTGAGTAGTCTTGCTATCACGTTTGCCTGTGGAATGGATCCTTGATGTCTGTGTAGTTCAAAGATCAAAGACAGCTCATTCAGTGAGTATTATAACCCATTCATCTGGGCTTAGCTTTTGCCAAGGAGTCTTTTCTGAAATCCTGGTCAGTTGACCTGGCTGGCCTTTTAGTTTCCTTCACAGAGCAATAACATGAACAGACCCTGCGGTTCTGGTACCGGGCAGGATTTCTGCTGCAAAAAGACAATTTACCAGGTAATGAGTCACCATTACCAGATTTCTGAAAGATAATTCTATTTAAATTTTTGTCTACTGTGCTCTGTCTACCTGGAGGTTGCCCCAATTAATACCATATTAAAATTGAGTTTTTTCCTGTGCTTCCTGGACCCTTAACTACAATTGGGTCAATCCTTCTGTCGTCTATCGTACACTTCTCATCAGTCCTTGATCTTGAACCAAGTGCAAGTTTCAGCTTTAATCTCCATTAAAAGCTTCTTGCTCTACGGTACTTATAATGCCACTTTCATGTTACAACACTATCACAAAAGGATAATTTACCTTTTAGCAATATGAGAGAAATTCAGAATGTTAATAACAAATTTGCACTTAATTCTTTTTTCATTCATTTTATCCTATTAGACTAAAGCAAGAAGTGGCCTTTACCTAACTTTCTTCATAAAGACTGGATAATTATGATAGGGTATGAAGTAAATCAAAGGGTGATAAAATAGCTAGGACGGCAAAAAGGAAATGCAAGTTTTAAATTTATTTTCTGATACTTCATCTATATATTGCTTGCAAATATTTTAAAGTTAATTCACTTTCTAAAACATCTTATACATTTCATTATAGTAATAGCATTGTAAAGAAAAATTATCTCCTTACCTTCCCTAGACACTAATTTCACTTTTTAGGTACCACTACTGAAGGATTTCTAATTTGGCTCATCACTTCATTCAGTGAGAATTCAGTGCACATAAGGGGCACATATGTAATTGGCAACCTAATTTTTCTGCTTTCATCAAATGGTGCAATGCCAAATCTTCATTGAACTTGCCAGTTATATGCACTTGGGAACCAAACAGCAGCAAGCATAAGAGATGAAAATGAACAAATTGGAAAGAGTCATTCACTTTCTGTTTTCCTATCACAACAAAAACTGTATCATTGAAAGTGTAGCAAAGTGGGAAATTCTACTTGAAACATTAAATCATCTTGAAAGAGAATAATTCATTTACTTCTGAAATGTTGTTCATTAGAATTTATAAATGCGGTTCCCAGTGCAGATTTTTTTTTCAAACAAAACAAAACAAAACAAAATAGTTAAATGAATCAACTTTTCAGAAGTGTTTTAGGTTGTATATTTTCATATGTCTTTCTGGTGTAGTGTATATGAATTCTAGACTTTATGTTGGAAGCAAAATTGTTAGAAAATTAAGCGAGAAATGTTGGCTTATTTAATACCTTAATGAATAAAGGCAATTGACAGATTGTCATGGTTCTCACTAATTATGAATGCAATTGAGAGTGTGAAAATTACAATCAGTTGTGGTTACCAAAAATGCCCTTGAAATATCTGGTCTAATGTATAATTTTAAAGTATGCACTATAGAGTCATTATTAAATTATCATTATTGATGACAATTTATTAAATAGAGACCTGGGACAAAACACCAAAAACTTGCCCAATATTATTGAGCATTGTTCTTAAAGGGGGAAATAACTTTTTTTTAAATGTCTATTTGCATCTTTTACAAAACCCACATATTTAGTGGCAGGGTGCAAATTTTCAGATCAGGAATATCTCTTCTACAGAATTTTCTTTTGTGGTGATAGCAGGATTCCTTTAGTAAGGACTTTGGAGAAAAGTTTCCTAACATTTTTCATCTATAAGTCCAACTACTTAAGATTTTTTAAATCCTTGCCTAACTTTAAAAAATAAATATTTTGTAATCCCTTCTTATACTGGAAAAAGTAGGAGGGAGATGGAAGGAAAATACCACAGGATTTTGGATCAGCTTATTTCATAATTATCTAAACGCTAAAGAAACTGTTAAGACTTTCGACTAAACCAGGTGTTCTGAATGGGAGTAGAGTACTTTGAGCTCCAATTGCATAGATTAACCTGTATGTGACCTAACGTTAACTACCTACCTTCCCCAAATATGACTTTCCTGGGCTGTAAAATTAAAGAAATTATAATAGCTTTTTTTCAAAGGACATGTACACGTTAAATCCCAACATCCTTTGTTAGTACATGTATTTTTCAATGCTTAATCAAAGGAGCTAAAATGTCCTGTATTTATATGTTATTGATATATTTGTCCACTGGTCCCAGCCTTGCTGCCTTTTCTTGATTATATGCTTAAGCCACTTTTAATGTACTTTAACAGACTCTAAACTCTTTGTATGAGGCATGAAGAAACTAGGGGAAAGGAAAATCAGAGTGAAAACGGTAACATGGAAAATACATAATGGGTAAGCATTTCAAAAAAACAAAAAACGTGTGGACATAGCAATGGCCATGAACTACTAATAAGGAGAGACTAGTTATCAACCTTTCCACCTCCCCCCCGCAGCTTCTGAAATGTTCTTAACTTTCTTTTGTCACATTTATGAAAAAAAGAATTTTCCATAGCTGTCACCCCAAATCAGGGCTGTATCCATGCCAAAATACACATCAACCACTAATATTCAAAAAGCACACGTTGCTTTTATACCCAATACATTCACATTTCAGCAGATTGTGGCCAGTTAGATTATTTAGATTCCTAGAAACTGTTTCTCAACACAGTAGTGCACCAGATCACAAAGTGCGCATCAGGCTAGTTAGGGAGGTGATGTCAGGCGTAGGAACTTAACACTGGAGATGAATTATCTATCTAGAAATGGTCCGACATGGCACCAGAACGGGTTAAAAAATGTTCCCCCTCCCCTCCCCACCACAGTTAAATGCAGTCCATCTGCTGTATTGCCTGCTAGGCATAAATATATTGGAGTGTATATAAAGAAGGGGATGAATGGGAAAAAGTTTAGGACCCAGTGCAAACCTGAAAGGAAATGAAGCAATACAATGGGAGAGAGAATCAGGACAAATAAATCAGGTAAGCAATAGCACCATGCATCTGAAGTCTTCCCCATCTCTAAGCTGCAACATTTTCTTCAGGGGCCATCAGTCAAATGATATCAAAATGGTAGCTGGTTCTGTTTGTAATTATCATGTGGTCGAGGACCTTAGGTGTAGGAACACAAGTTCCACTCCAGGTCACAGTCCTAATGCTTCTATTATCCTAAAGACGAATTGATTGCTGTAAATGGTTCCTGGGAAGTGGGACTTGGTTAGAGGAAAGAAGCCAGGTTTCTTTCCTTGCTGCCATGGAGGGAAGAGACATGTTAGTATATGAACAGGTTGGGTGAGAAGGAAAAAGGGGTAAAGAACCTCACAGTTTCCTCGCTGAGAGGTGTAAGAGAAAGAAGGTAACATTGGTGGTTTGGAGAGAAAAGATACAGTGCATGTTCAGCATCCCCGAGGTCTCTTCGCACTGCTTTAGACTCCCCCTCTTCTGTTTTGAACTACCAAAGCACTTGGACTCCACACACGCACAAGGATGGGCTAGGGGAAAGCCAAGTCAGCGCGGTCGGAAACGGCTTCCCTTGAAATGAAAACTCAGCAACGGGCCAGCCCTGGGTGTGCGCGCCTTAATGTATGAGTATGCGCGCGTGGTATCCAGCAGACGCAGTTGGCTGGGCGCCGCCCTCGAAGCCTCCCCCCTCCCCCCGCTCAGTAACCCCCCCCCCCCACTCCCTATAAAGGCCGCGCTCGCCGCCGCCCTCTTCACAGTCGGGGAGCGCGGCCTGCCGTGGAGGTGGACCCGGCGCTCCGCACACAGTCACACTCCGCGCACTCACATACTTGGAAGCGCCTCCCCACGTCCCTCCCCTGCCCTCCTCTTGCTCTGCTCTTCTCTCTCTCACCACAAATAGTCGCCGACCGACTGCCAATCCGTGTCTCTCTCTCTCCCTCTCTCTCAACAACATGACTGACTGGGAAGCGGTGGCTCAGGCAGAGCCGCTCTGCTGGCGCAGGCAGGAGGAGAAGGAGGATTATTAAAAAACGCAGCTCGACTCTGCAACTGGGAGTGGAGAAAAGGAGCCCAACAGCCGAGAAGGGGAGGGAGGGCAGAGGAAGGGACCAGGAAAGACACCCCCGTGCCCCGAAGACATACATTTCTGAGTGCCCGGGAGGAGCCTTAACAAGCGGCGCGGAGCCCTTCAAGGTAGTAACGCCCCCGGTGCCCCCGCGCCCGGAGGGTCGCGCGTTGCGTCGCCGCTGCGCCGGGGCCAGACCCCGGCGGACGAGGGGTGACTGCCCAGCCGGTGACCGCGCCGTGCCCGGGTCGCCCTGGAGCAGCCCCCGCCCAGGCCCGGGGCGCCCGCAGCGGGCCCGGCGTGCGCCGCGCGGAGACCTGGCCTTGCAGGCAGGGTGGGCGGGGGGACGGGCCCGCTCGCTGCCGGCCCGCGACTCCCCGCGCCGGCGTGGCCTCTTCCTCCGCGCTCCTGAGCGCTCTGCTCCCGGTGGCCGCGGCCGCAGCTCCAGGGCGCAGCGGAGCGTGGCCGGCCGGAGGCAAGAGTTGGCGCAGGTTCCGGGCCGCTCCCCTCCCTCACCGCTCGCGTCCCGCAGGTAGGGGCAGTCGGCCAGCGCTGGCGCCCGGCGCGGCGGGCGCCGGGGCGGGGGCGGCGACGAGGAGGAGGAAGGGGGGGCGGGGAGCCCGGGGCTCCCAGTGGAGCCGCGGTGCCCGAGCCGGGACCGCCTCTTGCGTCTGCCTGCCTGTCCTCAGGCGCTAGCTTCCTGGATTGGAGGCGAGACCCTCCCCAGCGGCGGCAGGAACGGCAGCGACTTAGTGTGAACAAATTGCTTTGTGGTGGCGCGTCAAGGGCTCCAGGGAGGGGTGTGTGTGTGTGTGTGTGTGTGTGTGTGTGTGCGTGCACGCTCATTCGTGTGCGTTCGCGCTCATGACTAATCAATGCTTTGGCTCACCTGAAAAGATAATCAGCCTTGAGTTGAAACCCTGGGGCCCCCTCAGCTTTTGGCTGGTGTCCCAGGGACTCGTACAGGCGGTGCCATCAAGGGGTAGGGTTGCGCGAAGGGGTGACGGAGGGATTTGTGAATGGTGCTTCTCTGCGCGTGGAGGCTGAGCTTGCTGATGTAGAGGAGGAGGTATCCAGAGTGAGAAGAAAGGCTATTTATGGCAAAGAGTTGTGAAATTTCTCGGGGTTTCCTTCAGTGTATACTGAGCTCTCTCTCTCTCTCTCTCTCACACACCCTCCCTCCCCCTCTCTCCTTCTCGTCTTCCCTCTTTAATTTCTCTCTTCCTCTCTCCCATTTCTCCACTTCTTTCTCAGAATTAGAAGCAATTCTGCTTTTTTCTCCCTCTCTCGTGGGATCTGGAATATGCAATGAAGTCAGAAAGCACTTGTCTTTTTACAGGTAGGAAAAAATGTTTCTTAGAAGGCACTGATCTCTTGCCTTTTAATGTTTTTATGTACTTGTTCTCCACTTCTCTTACCTCTTAAGGCCATCAATAGGACCCACAAGACACAAAGTACCTACTTGGTTTCAGTAGCTTTCATTTTTCATATTTTACAGTTGAATACCTTCCCACTGAAATGTAACACATATTCTCCCATCTCTACCCCCAAGAAAGGCTGTTAAAAATAATGCACACACGTTTTATTGTAAAGCTGGTTTTATTAAAAGCCTTGGGGAGGAAAGAGAAGCAAGACACCTAGGTGAGTTTATATTGATTACTACTAATTAAGAACTATTAAGAAAAGACCTAAAATACTGTTAATCTAGGCTGCAACACAATTTCTTTCGGTTTCTTTTTCTATTTGCTTTATAACAGGTACAAATTCCGAAAGACATAACTTGAAGCTTAGAGATGATTTGGGACAGTATCTACCAATTATGCTTTAGCAAATTTGTTCTTAGAAGTAGTAACCTAGGACTGGGTTGTGACTGAGAGAGTAGGACAGGATCTTTATTATTTTAAATTGGAATGTCTCGAAGGGCCTGCCAAGCACAGTGTTTTTAAAAACGTTGAAATTCCAACCACCCCTTCATTAATTTCACAGAGAAGAAAGAGAAGTGGTCAACCTATTGTCAGAGTGATTTGTCTTCATTTGATATTAATTAAGGAGCTCAGTACTTTGATCAAAACATGTCAATTGTTGGTTGTTGTTTTTGTTTTCAGTGTGGAAGTAGCTTTCCTTAACCCTCCTGTTCATTTTGAGACAAAGTAGAGTTAAGGATTTGTTATTCTGATTTAGTTAGATTCATATTGGTTTAAAATACAGTTTCCTAGTGCCTGGCTGGCTCAGAGTAGAGCATGTGACTTTTGATTTTGGGTGGTGAGTTCCAGACCCATGGTGGGTGTAGAGATTACTTAAGAAAATAAGATACACTTTCAACATTGGAGCATGTGTAGTTTTATATTTTACGTTAGGACTTAGACTGAGGACCCCCACTCAGGTTTGCTGCCTTAACTTTCCCGAATCATTGGAATGTAGATATAATGGGGAATTTAAAAATGTACTTGATGAATTGTATTACTACAATCATTAAGAAGTCATATCTACGAATATTTTGTTCTTTGACATGGTCAGAGAATCAGTAACTGTTTACTACTTTAAAATATGTATTATTTATACTATAGAATATTAATTTACATCAAACTCAGTAGAAAATGAAAAACTTTTTTTATTGTTATTCAACTCTTTTTTTTTTTTTTTAAAGATTTTGTTTATTTATTTGAGAGAGAGAGAATGAGAGAGAGCACATGAGAGGGGGGAGGGTCAGAGGGAGAAGCAGACTCCCTGCCGAGCAGGGAGCCTGACGCGGGACTCGATCCAGGGACTCCAGGATCATGACCTGAGTCGAAGGCAGTCGCTTAACCAACTGAGCCACCCAGGCGCCCTGTTATTCAACTCTTCATTGCATTTTATTACTCAACATAGTACTCATAATAAAGGGCCTGTCATGTGCCATGTACTATCTAGGCATTGTGGAGGAACGTTAAGAATTCTTGCTCCCTGCCCTTCAGGAGCTTACCCTCCAATTGGGACAAATCTGATGCACGTGCTTGAACAGAGTTAACCCATCACAATAAGAGATTGCATATCTCACAAGGACTGCAGGAATTCAGAGCATAACAACATTTCATACTGAGTTTTGTACGAAAGGCTTCAGGGGTAGGTAAGACTTGCTTGGTCTTGATCTTAAAGGATAAATAGGATTAATGGCTTGTGGATAAACTATGAGGTATAAGATGCAAGTCTCCTGGAATTATAGAAAAGAATAAAAGATATAAGGGGAAATAAGCTTGTTTGAAATAGATTTAGATATTGCAGAGCAGTTGAATTTGTTGTGGAAAGGGCAGGGTGAATTGGTTTTTGATGTACAAACATTCTGTATACTCTATTTTTGAAATTAATTGAATTTCTGTGCCTAAGATTACAAATCTTTGATTTTATATTGCCTTTTAGTGAACAAAATGCTCAAAATATATTTGTAGAGGATACTTACTCAAAATGTTTAAAAATACCATATCACACGAAAGGGTTGTACTTGGTATTAGTATCAAAGATGGTAGGGATAACCTCTTTATATTGAGGTGTTTGAGGTACATCCTTAACCAACTCTCCTTAGATTTGCTCTAAAGGAAAATAGAATGAGATAGGTAAAAGAATAGCTATATTAATAGCCAGCATTCATTGAATGCTTTATATTTATTCTTTATATAAAATGTATAATCCATTAAATAACTTTTTCTGTAATATTTTTAAGTTATTAGAATGCACACACATAATAGTTAATATATCTTTACATTATTTTTCATGAATATAGAACTAGGATGCAGGACTCATGGGGAATAATTTTTAGAATTGTAGTGATTTTAAAGATTTTTTAGACTATCTTCTGGTAAAATAGACGGTAGTAACAATAAGAGCATGTCCTGTCTCTAAGCATTCCAAACTTAGTTGTTTTTTCTTTGTATATATGTTTGTTTTTGTAGAAACATAAAACTGTTTAAAATGAATTTCTTCATTTTAAGAACACAAGAGGAAACATCTGAATTGACTTTGAGCCTGTCTTTTCAATATGACACCCTAGAAGTATGTTATAACAGGTACAAATAGTAAAGAAATAGTACAAATATTAGGTATGACTTTCAATAGATAATAGAATAGAATTACTTTCAGATTAGGTGGATTAAAAGATTTTCATATATATATTTTGTTGACAGTGAATAGATAAGAATTATTACAAAAGTGAAAAGCCTATTGAATCACCAGTTTCATATTCATGTAGGAATGGGATGATTTCCAACATAGTAACAGTACAAACCAGGCTATCTGTTAATAGGTGTCTTTTGAGTTTGGTTTTAGACTATATGTCACAGGTGTATCACTTTGATAATGTAATCTCTCCTACTGTATGACTGACAGCTTCTGCATTATTTCCCTATTGGATAGTGATAAAATCTGTTTGCTTTATATTGAGGACATATACTTCTATCAGAAATATTATCTTCACAATGCAAGAGAGTCAGTTAACAATAAAACATGAAGTCTGAGGTGGGGGAAGCAGTGAGAAAAGATGGGGAAATTGATACAAAACACCCTAATGAACCATTCTTCAGTAAGTAGCTTAAACTAAATATAAAAATATAGAGGTGACCAATCTAAACTGCAGTTGATACAGTACCAAGAGATTGTTATCAGTTCTTATTTTTAAAGGACTGTATTGCATTTTAAGCTGTTTTCATGGAGCTAAATAAAATGGCCGAAAGAAAGAAAGAAAGAAAGGTAGGTAGATGGTGGTTGAAATTGTTCACTAGTGTCTGTTGTATGATATTAAATTTTTTAAGAAAGATTTCTGCTTTGATCATTGATGGACACAGTTTGTTTGACCAAATGCCTAGCCCTCTACCTAGATTAATTTAAAATATTGCCTTTGGTTTTGCATATTTACACTGCATTAAATGCTTTTTAAATTTTAATTAAGCTGATTAAAATTTTTGAACACTGTAACTATGTTCTGATACCAATATAAAATTTAAAGGAAACATTAACTTATGGCAAATTCTTTTTTTAAAGTTTTTATTTAAATTCCTGTTAACATACAGTGTAATACTGGTTTCAGTGTACAATTTAGTGATACAGCACTTACATATAACACCTGGTGCTCATCACAATAAGTGCAGACTGTAATTAGTTATTTTTTTAAAAACTATGTGAGTATCTTGTTTCCCAACAACTTTTCACTGAATGGTTTTGGGATCTATTGATTCTGACCTGAAATAGAACATTTGGGGTTGGGAAGTGGTGATTTTATGATTATTTTTTGCATTTACTGGCTGGCATTCTTCTCTGAAGGAAAGCTTTCCCTCTCGGATAAGTATAGACCATGGATTTTTTTTTTTTAAATTCAGTATTAGTATAGGTTAGATTTTTAAACATTTTTTATTTAAATTCAGTTTAGTTAACATATAGTGTATTATTAGTTTCAGGGGTAGAATTTAGTGATTCATCAGTTGCATATAACACCCAGTGCTCATTACATCAAGTGCCCTCCTTAATTCCCAGCACCCATTTAGCTCCGCCCCCCCACCTTCCCTCCTGCAACACTCAGTTTGCTTCCTATGATTAAGAGTCTCTTATGGTCTGTCTCCTTCTCTGTTTTTATCTTATTTTATTTTTCCTCTCCCTATGTTCATCTCTTTTGTTTCTTAAATTCCACATATGAGTGAAATCATATGGTATTTGTCTTCTCTGACTGACTTATTTTGCTGAGCATAATACCCTCTAGTTCCATCCATGTCGTTGCAAATGGCAAGATTACATTTTTTTGATGGCTGAGTAGTATTCCTTTGTATATATATACCACATCTTTATCCATTCATCTGTTGGACATCTGGGCTCTTTCCATAGTTTGGCTAATGTGGACATTGCTGCTATAAACATTGGGATGCAGGTGCACCTTCTGATCATTACATTTATAATTTTGGGGTATATACCTAGTAGTGCAATTGCTGGGCCGTAGGGTAGTTCTATTTTTAACTTTTTGAGGAGGCTCTGTACTGTATTCCAGAGTGGCTGCACCAGCTTGCATTCCCACCAACAATGAAAGAGGGTTCCCCTTTCTCCACATCCTTGTCGAATGGCAGATTTTTAAACCAGACCAGTAGTTCTCAAAATATGGTTCCCTGAATAACAGCAGCAGTGAACTCCTTAAAATTCTAATCCCACCACAAACTGAATCAGAAATTCTAGGTTGGGGTCCTCTATGTGATTCTTATGCACTCTCAAGTTTGAGAACTACTGACCTAGAGTATGTTATAGTGAAACTTGAAGGCTGTGTCTTCTGCCTGTTTTGGAGCTAAGTACTTTCTTCAGCTGTTAGAGATGACTAAGGTTTAACTGTTTAGATCTGGGAAGTATGACATTCTCCATCAGAAGATTTTCATCTTAACTGTATGTATGTATGTATTAGTTTATAACTATTTAAGAAAGGAATTAAATGAGTTTCTAGTTCCCATACATATACTTGCTGTTGATTGGGGAAGCAATTTAAAAAGTGTAGAATTTAACTGGACCCCTAGAGACCCCAGGCTAGGCCTTATTGGTAGTCATAAAAATATGTACAAAGCTTGACCATTTTCTGTTTTCACATCCTGTAACTCTTTCCGTATCCCTCTCCCTCTCCTCCTTCTCTCCCTCTCTTCCTG